CCAGCCCTGTTATGTGAATGACGGCAAGTGTAAAACCACCATATGGGGGTGCTTGTTAGTTTCACCTTCCCTTGTAAACAGCTCCAAGACTATATAATGCCAAGAGACGACCAGGTTAAAATATATAATTTTTCAATTATTAATGTCTTCAGGCAAAAAACATTATGCATCAGTCATCACATGCCATACCACTGCATTTACAGCATCTAGTTAAACTAAATCCAGAGGGAGTGGGAAAAATGTTTTTTGTATAGAAAGAACCTTCCAGCTTAAAGAAAAATTGGATTCAGAATTTTCTGTAAAAAAGATTGTTTTTGCTTTTTTTCTTTGAATATGGTTTTCTTTGGCTTTGGGGGTGAGGGAGGGTCAAGAGTTTACTTATTCGCCTCTGAATAATGTAGAACATTGCTGAATCTGACATCACTGAAATTTCAAGTCTAAATTTTGTTTTCTGCCTACTTGATCTCACTATGCCACTCAAGTACTGTTCCTTAAAGCCACTGAGACCCCTCTGAGTAGCTGCTATTCATCCTGATCTTGTCCTGAGGCTTGCTGCATTTTGTGTGTGTACCATAGGGAAATACTTACAATGTAGCTCACAGTAAAGTGAAGTTGTTGTTTTTCTTATATGCTGAAAACATTTATGATCAAAGGATATAAAAGTAAGGACAAAGTAATTAATATCAATTCAAACTGCCATGCATTTGTCTCAAAAAGTTGAATTGTTTGATATTTGCTTTTGACTAAGAACTATAAAAATCCCAGCCCTTTGATCAGAAATCCTCTTCCCTAATCCTAGTAATAGTACCTATCACTGGCACTTACTGCTTGAAATATAGTTCACTAATTTGCTTTCCAAATAAAAAAACAGATCCTGAACATTTAAGTGTACAAAATAAATATACTTATTTTGAGAACTTACTGAAGCTTTGAGTTTTTAAAATTAAATAAAACCTTGAAGAAAGTAGGTGTAGAAATGTGATAGTGTGAACTATAGTTCAAAAATATGTCACAGCAGATAGAGGGATAGATAAGAAAAAAACCAAGTACTGTATAATAAAATGTTAGTGGTAGAATATAGGTGGTATTACAAGGTCACACAGTAAAATTATTTCACGTTTTCAGTTTGTTTGAAACTTTTCATGATAAAATGCTGGAAAAGATATATAAGAAGGTCCACACCTAAAATTGAATTTGTATACTTAAGAAAATGCCATTGCAAAATAACATGAGATTGAGTGATCTTAAGAGGTAATTGTATTAGAGAATTCTTTTTTTTGAAAATTACAAATATTTTTAAGACTCTTTATAAACTTTTTAGGTTATTTATTATCTTGTAGCCCAAGAGCCACCTTAAAGATAAAAAAAGTGATTGATGAGGACTGCCCATCAAAATAAAAATTATGTTGTGCACCACTGCCATTTCATTACCCAACTAGTAAATAACTGGAGTATCTATTTACACAATTAAATCTAATCTTGAAAAATACTACATTTCTGGAGTTATGCAAGTGCTTTAAAATGTAGTTTAATAGCCCAACGTATTTGTTGTCTTTTATTTCCTTCCACCTAACAATAAAATTTTAGAACTGTGTTTGTTGACTGTATATTTTGTTTGTTCACACCTGATCCAACACCAAAGATTGAACCCTGGGGCTTCCTCTATTTTACCATGGTATGAACACATGGCAGGGTGGGATGTGTGTGTTTGTGAATGTTTTTTAAAAAGAAAAACATAAGTTGTTTCTTTTTAATGCCAGATTTAACAAGCCTTTCTGCCAATGATTCTCTGTGGCAATGATATTTACCCTTCAGAAAGTTGATTTTCCCCACATATAAGAAAAATCAGAGATTTGACAATTATCTTTTTAACTCTTGTTCCAGGCCTTTGGAAACACATCCTCCTCCTTCATGTCCTGTTGTCTCTTGTCCTTGTTTCTTTGGCTCCCACAGCAGTGGTGTTTGTGACACTGTGGATCTTGAAAAAAATAAGGGATGTGGGACCAAAATGTTGTCAAAGAACCAAGAAGTTAAATCACAAGGGAGAGTCAAGAGGAAATGGGGCATATTAAATGCAATAAACAAAACATTCACTCCACTATTCTACCATACTCGCCACCAGGGACACAAGCAATAACTACATCATGAATTTCTACATTTAAAAAAATCACTTTATTCCCAGAAACATAATAAAGGAAGGGTAAAGCACTCATCCAATATTTTTTCCGGCAAAGTAGTCTTTAAATGAGTCTTTTCTATGGCAGTTTTATGGGTCTCTTAAGCAATCATATTTTGCGCCCTTTTTGGATTATGAATGAAATTCGCTTTTGTTTCAAAAAATACTCCTATTATAAAGAAAAAGATATAGTTTATGTATAATCTCTTCTCCCACAGAAAAAGATTTAGTATTTAGTATATATTCTTCTATATTTTTCCACAAAGATACACCATACAATTATAAATTTTAAAAGAAAAACAGTTTTTCTCCAAAGAGTTTATGCTCTTAATCTGATGCTTTATGAATTATCTCTTCTTTTTCTATGACATCTATTTTTCACTTTTTTATTAGTAAATGTTTGTAATACATAATGTTTACATTTCTTGTAAGGAATTTCTACATATACATAATTCACCCTAACTTCTTTTTTTCACCTCCTTTCTCTTCCTCTCCCCTCTTCCATCCATCTTTTGATTCTCTTTCTCTCTGTCTCTCTCTCTCTCTCTCTACACATTTGCAGTACATAATGTTTACATTCTTTGTGGGGGAGTTAGAACACAAGAACTAGTTTCTTCTTAAACTATAAACATGCTCAAGATCTTTATATAAGGAAGAAGGGGAAAAAAATTATAACTTTCGCAGTATTTTCCCCCGTATCTTTTGTCTTTCAGCTAGCATTTTTGCTTCTTCTTTCTCTTTTCATTCAAGCTTTGCTTGGGGAATAATAAGTCTTTTCTGACTACCTTCACTCTCTCTTATCAACATATTCAATAATTTAATCTGGCATCTATTTTCACCACACCTCCCCCAGTCATTCATGACTTTCAATGTCAAACACAAGAAAAGTCGCTGTTTATATCCTTATTTAACCTCTTGTCAGCATTTGACACTAGCTAAAAGTCTTTTTCCTTTGACTGTATTCTGGTTTGCCAGAACTGGTTTGCCTTCTTCACTTCGCACCACTCCTCTTCCTCATCCTTTACTAAGTTCTTTTCTTGTGCTCATTCTTTAAATGTAACCATTCTCCAGGACTCTGACTGTAGTCCTCATCTCTTATGTCTCTACATTTGCTTCTTTAATAAGCTCATTCACTCCTATAATTTTAATTATCCCCAGCAATCCATGTGCCCTGCCCTCAGCTCTCTTCATAATATGGATCCATATATCACAGTGCTTGACTGTATCTTTCCTCTTGGATGAGTTTTCCAAAGACATCACAACCTCAACAAGTACCTTCTCAGCATGTTATCTTCTTTCCCAATCCTCTACCTTCTCACTGATACTCTATTTGATTTGTTCTAAGGAAAGAGAGCAAGACCATTTAGTAATGCATCCTGATTGTGGTTGGTTTAAAAAGGGAAAGAAAGGAAGGAACTGTTACTAGTGAGTACAGTCCATTCTATCAAGTTTAACAGTGAAGAGAGAAGAGAGAATAGTTTTTAGGGAGCCATGGGCAGGAGGAAATCACTAAGCAAGTTTTCAGGCTGTGGAAAGGAAAGTATTTGGAGAAGAAATTTAAGGTGAAGAAATAAGATAGGAAATGAATTCTGAAAATTATGAAGACAGTATGACAGCCTTTCCTTTTTGCAGCTATATTATATATTCTCTCTATATCTATATCTATAGATAGATATTACATATTACATATTCATACAAATTATATTATATATTATATATTCATACAAATGTGTATGACATTTGCTTTAATAAATCCATATCTAATATATACCTTCATTGCAATAGTGAATAAATAATAATAAACAGTTTTGACATATTTATATAGAATCTTTAACCTTTACATTTATTTTGACATCTGTAGCTGGGCAAAAATTGCAGTTGGGGCTAATTTGTATGATTGCCTAAATCAAGTATTTCTTTCCTTTCAAAATTTCTTTTATGTATATGCCATTCCTAGTGAGTATGAAAAATCCTTTGAATTCAATTCATATAAAACTAGTCCATTTCAATTAAACCCTAAGCTCACATTCTGAAATGAACACATTACCTCATTTCTTAGGTCTCTATGCCATCAGATTTTGTTGCTGTTAACGTCCTTGCTAAATTTTCCTACATAATACATTGTATGTCTGCAGCCGGGATATGGTTTTTCCTATATTATTTCCAAGTATAATGATTTATTTATTCCAAATGAATAAACCCACTTTTCTATTCTACTTAAGTGGGGGAAAGAAAGAAGGGGCAGGAACTAGGAGGTGGATGGGATTAAGAAGAGAAGAAGAACTGCACAGAGCAAAAGTTACCGGGTAAGCTCAATGTTCTTAAGAAAACTACAAATCTAACTGAATAATATTTAAAGTTACCAATACTAACAAAGAACTAGATAGTTCTCTTTCTGGTTAGTCAGGAAAAATTCAGAATAGTGTGAGAAAATGGGAGATACTGTTTGGGGTTTCAGAGCTTGGACAGCGATCTTGAGCTGAAAGCTTCTTACAGGGAGCAAGGCATTGTCAGCAAATGATGACTGTTTTCTTTCTCCTTCCTGGCTCCCACCATAAAGTGCTCACCACGCTAGCTCTCTTGCACAAACACTTCCCCCTCAGCTGCACTTAGTGAACTGTACATAAAATCACCCATGAGCAGGCAGTGTGCTAAAGCTGGGACAGAGACAGCTCTAACCTCTTTGCCTCAGTTGAAATCCTCAGCTCCAGTGTCTGGCCAGGGAGGTGGGAGGAGCACAGGAAGTGATTACCCTCTGGCTTCTCCTCCCACAGAAGCCCTGCCCCCTCACACTTGGACAGTGCAGAGATTAGCTTTCTTCCTCCTTCTAGTTCAGTCCTTTGGCTAATATGAATGGCCACGCAGAAGCTCTGGACTTGCTTTTTGTGCTTGACAAAAGTGCATAGATAGAAGACAGGGCTTCCTGGCTGGGAGGAGGGAGGAGAGCTGAAGATACCTGCCTGGGCTGGCTGATCTAAACAGTCAAAGTGGGCAGCTGAGTGCTTGAAAGAGGATTATGCTCGCACTAGAAATAAGCAGTAAGTGAGTGATTATTGGCTTAGAAAAAGATTAATCCCCCCGGGGGTTACGGGGTAAACTAGAAAATATTGCTTAATTCTAAAGTAAAACTGTAAGTCTTCTGGCTCTGTGTAATGTTGTGTGCTGTTAGGAGTCTGGGGCTTAAGTACAAAAATCAGAGCTCTAAATGCCTCCTGCCACTCTTACAAAATGCCAACTTCTATTTAGTTGGGGACAATAACTTCCTTCCCTGACCTAGCCTCTTCCCAGGAAAATTTACTAGTGTACCAGATAAGGAGTTGAGATTAAATTGGAAAGGTGGAATTTGATGTTGGCAGAAATTGAAATTTTGAATTATGTTCTGTGAGTGCTGACTTATCTATTAGTAGTGATTGTCAAGAAAGTCTGGAGTGGTGAGTTAAACAGGGGAAATTAAGAGCTTTTATGCCAATGAGGCTGAATAGTCCATATGCAAGGGGTTAAATTAAAAAACTATGTAATAAATAAAAGATGGGCTTTTTAAAACATTAGCGGGAAGAAGTAGTCAGGAAGCATAAAAATGCATGAATAAAAATTCATTAGGAAAAGAAATTTTCAAAGACCTCTGTGCTAGCCAGAAATTTCACAATGTTTACAAAGTCAAGACAGTGATTCAGGAGTACTTCAATTATTGTTGTACATTATTAATACTGCTGTTGGGCAAGATCTGTGTTTCTCTGGTCAGCAAGTTCTGGCAATGAAGCCACTGCCGCTGGTGCAAAGAATTCTGGGATGTCTGACACTGAAATGGATAGAAGGACTCACATTCCTTCTCTACTTAATGTCCTTTTGTCCAGAAATCGGGTCATGCAAATGAGCTACTTGGTACGTATACAGATCAATATTTGGAAAGCCATTTCTAAATGTTTTGCATTAGAGAGTCTCTGGACAATATCTTATGGCAACCAGTGGACTGAAAGACTACAAAAGCAAAGTGACAGAAAGGAAGGAAGTCAGCTTGACTGAAACCAACCTTGTTCTTTTTGTTTTCCATCAATCCTGAAATGGAACCTCAAATGAGGACAAGAATGATAACAGAGAGAAATAGTGTGGCCATCTGTTCTGTTCTAAGTGGCTAAGTTCATTAATGTATGAATGGGAATTTGGATTTGATTTATGCATCCTAATACTTGAAGATTCAGAAATTTCTGCATTACAGTAAAAAAAAATAGAAGATATATTTGGGGGAGATGAAATATGTAAATTCAGTTTTTGAAATGTCGTAAAAGAAAAAAGCAGTTAAGAATTGTGTCCCACAGTTTAAAGAAGATTTACATCATGGTCGCTGAAGGGTATGTCTCTTTCCCTAATGAAATAGAGATCAAAATACACACAGTAGATTCAAGTGTAAGAAATATTATTATTCTCCTAATTATAGGTGTTGTAGTTAATATCTAAAGCAAGCATTTTTTTTTAACTTGGACTGAAGCTAACTTGTAGTGATTTTTATTTTCTATTTGTTACTGGTATGAAGGAGTAAGATGACATTTCTTGTATTCCCATCAGCTGTTGCACTGGGGAGAAGAAAAGAACTCAGACATACTACTATTCTTCTTTAACATGACCATAAAATAATTACCATGACCAATGTCCTTTTCTAACTCTACAATTTATAATTACAGATTTTGCTATGGGGAGGAAAGGATGGGGAGCAATCATTGGGACCAATAATAATAAAAAGAGTAATAACAAAGTGCTAGTAGAATACATTTTTAAAGATGGTCTGTATTCTAAGTTTTTAACGACCTAATTTTGAAGTCTATCTTCTTTTAAAAATTACTATACTGAAAAACATTTGAAGATTTTAGAGTTGTGCGAAACTTCTCTTATTCTTAAACATAGTTAAGGCATTAAAATAAGATACTGTGTAGTCACAGCCTTAAGCATAGTACAATTCTAAATGAACTTTCAGTCCTTAAAACATACAGTAGCATTCTTCAAAGAGTTTCTTATTTGCCTCAAACTGTTAAAAAATCTTTTCTGAAACTACAGAATAAATGAAAAGTATAAAAACATTGACAAAAAGATTATTTGGATGACTGGATCTAAGTAGAAAAAATGAACAATTATAAGCTTGTAATTTAAAAATAAAAACATTTGCTGTTGTACATGAGAGACTGACATGGAGGATAAGGAAGGCATCATGACAAGAAGACAAGGCTAAAGATTTTTGTCTTTTAAAAATGTTAAGTAAGAATTAAGATTGTTAATGGAAAGAAACTAAATGATCATTTAAAATTATTCTTTCACAAGAAAAGTAAAGAACAAGGATATGGAAAACTAAGCTGTGATGAAGACCTTGAAATAATTGTTGATCAAAAGCAGGTAAGTGAATGCTTACATTCATTTTCTATTGTTACATTGTAGATTTTTAACAGCCTTTTGGGTGTTCAGCCCTTCCTTGACAGCTGCATTTTCCTGTCTGAGCCCTGTATAACGAGACAGACTGACAGCAACTAAGCTTCCCTGCATGATACCTCTAAGCCTACTGACTTCTGCATGGTGCCAACACATATGTTCTGTATGTAAGAATGTTAAGAAATGAAACTACAACAAGATAAGAAACCTTTTGGAAAATTAAAAGCTCCACTTAAATTTAAAAAGCAACAATGAAAATTTATTTTGTTGGGAAAAAAGATTTAAATAAGAACAAGAAAAAATACTATTTCAAAAATGAGAAACACTACCATTAGTGTATCTTGTGAAACAGTGGATATGATTTAGAGGGAAGAAGAAAAAACACTAAAAATTTGAAAACTTTAAACCTAAATCTTGTCCATTTTAATTTTTCAGATTGTCTACAGTAAATTTTAAAATGATTTTTAAAACACAAAGAAGAGGCTATATAATTGTCTGTAATACTGCTCGTAATTTGAGAATCCTCTAGCTTGGTTGTTATATGGGCCAATAAGGGGAAATGAAAACTGCTTAATAGGCCATAAACAATGACTTACCAGGTAGTGGAGAGTATCCAGCCCATGGCACTGAATTGGCACTAGCCCTTAACATCTCTGTTAATTATCAAGGAAACAAGATAACTGCATAGCTATTTAATGTATAAGCGCCACTGAATCTGAGGATGATGTCAACTCAGGTTCAGACAGAGTGATAATTCAAAGGGATCTGTGTAGATGAAGGATTAGAAAGAAAGGAGTCATTAATTTACAGAAAGCCCATCTCATTACATTTGGACAATTTCCTAATCATGCAGTTTGTTTTGCATCATGGTGACTGTATTAAAAGAACCATTGTGTATTTCTGACATAAAGGGAAATGATAACCAGAAGGTAGTGGCCAGAAATAATTGCTTTAGGGACTTGTTTGTTAGACTTAGAATAAAGAAGGCAACTAAAATGGTTTTCTAGGGAAAAACTGGCTAACAAAGCATCTCCATGGAAGTTCAGAACATATGATCTGACAGGGTCTCCTCCAACTGCCTTGGGATTTTTCTTGCCTTATCATCACTCTCTCTCCTAAGGAAACAGGGTACGGGGTTGTGTGGATTTGGTCCTGTGTTTTGCTACTCAGTGTCATACTTTACTTTAGTTAGCTTAGGTAATAAGCTAAGTGTACTGGGCCCCAAGTGCTCTATTGAGCTATAAATTATTATTTTGCCAGATTATGGTTTCGCCACCTGCTGTGCAAGCACAAGGACCCAAGTTCAATCCCCGGTACCAAAAAAAAAACCAAAACAATTTTGCCAGATTAATTACTTGGGTAATTATATAATCTATATAATCTATATCTCCTGCTGATTCTACCCATAAACTGGACCCACCTGGCCAATAAACTAGTAAAATACAAATTTTATGAGAGTATTTTATGAGAACACAAATATATATACATTTCTATTAACTGAAAAAGTTACTTTTATTTCTTCTTTAATTGTGTAGATGGTGAATTCTTACTTTTTCCTTCTTTACTACCTTCCACCTCAAAGTTTTTACTTTCTTTACTTTTGTTATTGTTGTTAAATATTTGTGTTTTAACAAAATTTTGGTGTTCAGAAAACTACAGAATTATACATTGAGATATTTAGGGTAGAAAGACTAAGGGTTCTTTTTTTCTCATGGTAACTTTTACAAAATTTGCTGTTGTGACTAAACATATTTTATTAATTGCTAAGGAATTTTTTAAAACACAGAAGTAACTTTCCTGCTTCGTCTGAAAACAGCACTTTCCTTACTGGATCAAATAAGCGTGGACTCAGTTTGTTCAGAGTTAGCGTTTGACTCCTTGGTTATCAGTTTTTCCAGTACCACTGCACAAGGTGGCATTGTTTGGCAGTGACCCAGCTTTTCAGAGTCATTTATGTCAAAACATGTTTCAAAAAATGAGTAATTATGAATATGAGTTGGCTTTAGTGTTGGCTGTTGGCAGGAAGAGAAGTCCTTCCCTGATCGGGAGGATTATTTGATGTTGATGTCGTGAGCAAATTCTAGATTGAAACAATGACTATGTTGATACTGCAAAGAAAATATTTGGGAAAATGCTATAATTATTTTATAAACCTATAAAAAATATCTGAGTTTAAGAGATAGGTATCTATGTGTGCATATGTGTGTAAAATACGTTTATTTTCCAAAAGTGAAATATTGCTTCATCTCATAGGTTTTATACACATGAGATGAATTCATACATATGTGCATTGTCTGTGTATAATAAAGTTAAAACTCTATAGCCCTACATACTATTTCTCAAGAATCTTTATACTTAATCTATATCTTTTCAGAAACGTGGTAGAAATTTGTTTTTCAATCTTTAGAGTTGCTAGTAGCTTTTTCAGGAAGCGATACCAGAATAAAATCTAAGGAAGATAAATAAAATAATTGGGAGTGCTGTGAGGGGCAGAAGTCACCTAATCTCATTAAATCCATCACTCAGATGCTGTTACTCTACAAATGCTGTGTAAGCTATATGCTGTTTCATCAGTCATATGATTTGCAAGTCTTGTATTTCCACAGAAAGCCCACAGTCTTGCTTATATAAGCAAATTAATAACAAAAGCACCTCACAGAAAGTGGAGTTTCTTCTCCTTGGCTGCTTTCATCCAAGGGGGTAAAAGATGACACTCTGTTATTTTGACATGGAAAAAATGAATATATTTTGGAAATATTTAGCATTGTCTCAAAAGCCAATCTTGTGCTACTGTGTGAAATTTTATTGGCAAAACTTATTTGTAATGCATATAAAAACATGCCAGAAAATTCTTAAATTTGTATGGAAGTCCTAAAATAATAGGTGCCACATATATGTGTATATATATATATGCATGCATACACATAGACACCACACACACACACAGTCATTTATATATATCACATTAGGATCATATTTTCCACAGAAATTCCCATGGTTTTCAAACTTCAAACATAGGAAAGTAAGGAAAGAATATGTATTTAATTGAAATTTTAACACCCTTAACACCCAGACATTTGACATAGGAATACTATATCTATAATTAGTAAATACATATTTGTCTTTCTAAATAAATATTAAAGAAGAAATCTTAAATGTATATTTTGGATCTTTTTAACGTGACAATATTTTTTTCCTGATTAAAGGAGAGGAGAGTCTTATTTAGAAATAATTCTCATGTGAAGAATTTTCTTTTGAAACTAGAAATTTCAAGGGTGAGGATGGAGGAGTAGATGTTAAGTATCTTTATTAAAGAATTTAAAACATTACCCACATTGAATGAATAATAAATTCATTCTATTTTAAATTGTCATTTTTAACTACAGACTATTTAACTAGAGGTCTATCGTGATGGATCTAGATATCTTTTTTCTCAAATGTTTTCAAATCTCAGGTAGATTTAAGAAGGTAACAAAGAAAGACCTAAAACTATAGAATATTATGACTATGTGAAAGATACAGGTACAGATTCAAGCACTGCACAAATTGGTTGAACAAAATGCTGTGGATCCCATTGGTTATAGAACTCAAAGTTTCAGCTGTGTATCCTCCAGTACGGTGAGATGGGGAAATGTCAGCCAAATAAATGGAAGCAAGTGTACCTAGGTCAGAGCAGTAGTTCCCAAGCTTTGGCTCTCTCAGGCTCCCCTGGAGGACTTGCTGTAACACAGATTTGGATCTGAGGAATTGGATTTCTGACTCCTCAGCTAGTGTTACTGGTTCCATACCACACATTGATAGCCATGGTCAGAGAAAATAACTAACACAGTTATAAAGGGGGAAAAATGTATGTGACTCATTAATGATCTTTATCTTAGCATTGTCTGGAAATCTAAAAACTAGAATTCATCTACTTCCAACCTGATGTTACCGAAATCAAGAAAATCACAGCCATTTACAAACAAAATTTAAAGACTCGAAATTGCAGTATGGCTAAATTCCACCTGCTGGCCTTGTGATCTTGAACCTGTTTGAGTTCAGTTTCCTTATTTGTAACATAATACTTTTTTCTTCCTATCTCCTAGAGTTCATCTGCTATAAAATAGATAAAAGTGCTTTATAAAGTATAAGTAATGTGTTAATTAGCTAATAAACCCACTATCCCATCCCACCCCCTGTTTTAGTCCCCCAGTTTAGGAACTTTGACATCTAGAAAGATGAGTGAAGTTGCCTGGAGTCTCTGGTTAAGCACACAGAACACAGGAAGCCAACTGTCTCTCCTGACATCCAGTCTGCTACTCTTTCTGTCACCTCCACAGAATTCTGCACCATTACCCATTACTGATAATCCTGTAAATGGGTTCAGAAACTGCTTTGCCTCAGTGCCCTAATTACACAAACTAACCATCTACTAGTAATTACTATCATTGGTCAACATTTATTTATTGAACCCTCACCGGGATAGACTTTTCCACAAACACTTCTTAACTGTTTACTTCCCTGTTGGCCCCTTGGCATTGTGAGGGGAGAGATGCCCTTCCAAATAAGCATATATGGGAAGCACCTTGGGGAGAGGCAACACATGGTTTGCTTAGCCCAAAACCTTTCTGAAAAAATTTATAAAAGAAGCTTGAGCAGAAAGCACTGGACATTAGAACTTTTGTGGCCTTTTTCTAAAGAAAAAGAGAAGAAAAGGTATAGTCAACCACTGTCTCCAACAGCACACAAGCATTTGAATAGGATTGCACTTCTATCCTGGTGGTCACTGTGGAAATCAATCCTAAAAGGAAATTAAGGCCAAGATGAAATAAAAATGGAAGAGCAAGAAAAACAGATTAACAGAAAAGACACCCAGCTTCTTTCTGGTGCTAACAGATAGCATGGTCCTACCACCATCTAAGCAGTTCAACTGGAGTTCCAGTCTCATAATTAGTAAAAAGGATGAGGATAATAGGTGTCACTGCCTT